TCTCCATTTATGGAGCCGTCTCAGACTCCTGGCAATAAACCCAGCCACCTCCCGATGTAGAGGTACTGCCTGGAGAGATGACCAGTGGGACTTGAGATAAGTGCAAACTCTTCTGCCGGCCAGAATACAATACTCGCCTATTATATTCTGCCTCCACCCACTTATGTTTTGGGCACTTATATAGCCTCTCTACCTTAGCTATGCTAATTAGCAGACATTTGCATATCACTACACATAGTTTGCATATGTGATAGAAACTTGAGTTCATCAGTGATACGATTTAATTTAAGCGATGTTAGTGATTAGCAAGATGGAAGATTGAAACAGGAAATTGAAGTTACGGAAAAAAGGTATCAGGATGGAATTTGAGTGAGTCATGAAGCAACAGAAATATGGTTCTACAGATGGATGCTGAGGATACCATAGACCGAATAAGAAGATGGATACAAAAAGGACACATACTTAAAATTTGGATGAGACAGTTGAAATTTCGAGGGCACATTATGAAGAAAGAGGGTTTGGAAAATTTGATACTCATAGGACAGATTGAAGTCAAGAGAGACAGAGGAAAGCAAAATATAAGCTACCTAGCAAGTAAATGGATGGCGGAGACAAAATTTATTAATAGCTACAACGGACAGGTAATTGTAGAGGGGCATAGTGGTCTACGCTCTGAAGAGACACGGCACAAGAAGAAAACGATCATGATCATTTTCAACGTGGGATATGGTATTCTGGAACATGAAAGCTGAAGTTGATAACAGAAAATTGATGTTACTTTTGGATTCAACGCCTCAAAATTGTCCCAAATATCTCATGCACTTTTAAGAAAAAAATTGGCAAACATAGACCTTCGTAACTGGAAAAAAAAAACAAAAAAAAAAACAGGCGGTTTTTCCACTGACGCCGCTATTATTTTAACTACCTTCACTCCTCGGCAATGTTTGTTACTTTAAAAAATCGATGATGATTGTAATAAAACCGAAATATAAGATGAAAGTTTATTATATATATATATATATATATATATATATATATATATATAAAATTTTTGTTCTTTACAATTTACAACATAAATATTAAGCACTATTTATTAGATTGTTTATTAACAAGATTAATTCTATATTTACATGATTGTAAAAACTAATAAAATATTGAACATTTACCAAGTTATAAAGAAATAAATATGAAAACAAATTTTATTCATAAATTTAAACATTTACTAAATTATTATATGTGAATCAGCTATAAGGAAATCCTTATTATTTAGAATTTTATAAAGTTTGAATAATTAACAATTAGCTGATGTTTTTACAACCATTCCAATAAACAGTATAATAAATAAACAGTATGTCAATTCTCAAGAGCAAAGAAAATGTATAAAGTATTTACACAAAATATATTTTATTTAATGCCTTAAATTCATGTTTAAGTTTTATTACAATTCTAATAAACGCTTTTTAAAAGAACAGACATTGCTGAGGAATGAAGGTAGTTAAAATAATAACGGTGACAATGGAAAAATTTTCCATTTTTATGCGGCCAGGAAGGTACCAGTTTGATAAAACGTTTCTTGTAGTCCTGTCTAATTTTATTGTTTCGTTCAAACTAATACGGCATTAAAAAATCGCGTATTTAAAAATAAAAATGGAAAACAAATGTTATTTGCACAAGTTTTTATTCACTTCACGCCATTTATAGACAAGAGACAATAATACTTAGAGCAGATTCATGTACATACATTTTTAATATAAATATACATCATTGTGACAACGCCCTTTGCGGAAGATCTTCCAAAGTGCATTTGCATATAGTGAAAACAAGAAAGATATTGAAACTTACGAAACGTCCACATACAGACAGACAAACATTTATTTTCAATATATTACATGAAACCACCTCTTATATTCATCCCCTATTTTATTACGTTTGGCTACATGTATGAAGCAATATTTTCGGGATGAACTGAGCGGTATGAGATCTTGCAATCAAGAATATAGACATTTTGGTAATAAAAAAATAAAAAATAAAAAAAACATGAGAAAAAAAAAGGAATAATGAAGATGGTAGAACCAAGAATGTCAAGTGAAAAATTTATTCTTAGGTCGATTTTTGATGTAGTGAAAGCCGAAATATATTTTAGATTGTAAGAATAATTTTTTTGTGGGTGAATATTTCATTAACAAATGTTGAAAGTAACAATAATTTTTTTCCAGATACAAGTCCTATTATTTATCCCATAGGTGGGGAGAATAGATAGATGGAATTCGAACTCCTTTCTCTGATTTCTCACACCGGCCTGCTATCTACTGAACTAACCGTATGTCCATCGCCTAACACCGTGAAACAAAAATCATTTTGTTAAATGCTCTTGAAATGTTGCATTGAACGAGTTATTCAAATCGAAAAGACTATTTTCAAACATAGAGGAACGTACGTATGCTAAAATATAATTTTCTTAAATTGGAATGGAAAAATTTAATATGTATGTTTAAATGTATATTCAGAGTGGGGCAGAAATACCCCCCCGAAACATCTCCCACATAATGGTAAGACAGTAAGCGGTATTTCTGGGAGGTACATGTGGGATGACTTTCTGCTGAACCCTGTATTAGGTTGAGTCATAAGTAAGTTTTGGGGAGGCAATCGTAATGACAAATGTTTCATCATAGTTAGCCGTTCCTTAAATATATCATAAAAGATGATGAAAAATGGGTTGCTTACAACAATATTCAACGCAATATACATTGGATTGACAAGGATAAATTTTCACCCTGAAAACTAAACTTCCTAGAAGAAAATTAAAATTGTGCGTGTGGTAGGATCGTTGAAATATTATTCCTTTAGAGTTCTTGAATTGAAATGAAAGACTATATGCACAAGTATACGTCCGGCAGTTGCAACGTGCCCATAAAGATTTGGTCGAAAAGGACCATTCGTTCGCCAAAAGGAAAAATGCTGTTCACTTCTACGATAACGCAAAGGCCTCATCCAGCAAGAATGATACAAAACTTTGGAAATCTATTAGCATGTTCTACCCAATACTCCGCCGCCCGCCATATTCATCTGAAATTGCACCAAGCGATTATTAAATACCTTTTTTTTCGATCATTGCAAAACGCTTTGACGGAGAAAACTTTCTTTAATGACAACCAGAATCAAGCGTTTGTCGAAAAAAAATGTTCAAATCAAAACCTAAAAGAATTTTACTCAAAGGAAGTTGAAGAACTGTATGATAAATAACAATAAGTCATTGCAAATAATGGTGGATATTAGGTTGAGTTCTACGTTCGCCTATCACCCGGTTCACACTCCTCCCAGGTCTTTTGAACAGAAGTTGAAGATTATCCATTTTTTCCTGCTTAGGATTAGGTCTCCGATTCCTTCTTCCGTCTTATTCTCTTTCACACCCAATAAACTCGTGCGTCTTAGTGGCATTATCGCCTTGCTTGAGGTGAAATGATTAAAAAAAAAAAGGGGGGGTAATTTTGGAAACCAATCGTTTCTTAAGTATAAGAAGAACAATTTTGTGCGTTTTGTGGGATCGTCGATGTATTATATCTTTATATTTAAGTATGGACACATTGCAACAGCTGGGCGTATACTTGTGTGTATAGGATTTTAGTTAATGTAATTAAATGTAACTGTGCTTGACTTTTTAAGAAGAAAACTTGATAAACGGAAATAAATTTTGACTCAACTTAATAGAAGATATTTAGCTGGGTCTGGTATATGCATCCTCGGGAATACTGAACCTGCCAATAATATTCTGTAACAGTATCTTGCCTACTATAAAGTAGATCTTCATTTGGACGCCTATAAGATTCAGTAGATGTGTATAAAAATATAGTTAATCTTCTTTGATCCGACACAAATCCGGTTTGTGTTTAGCACCGGCAAGAAAATATACTACTTTAGCCATTAAGCCAATGTTCTCTGTTAAGAACTTTCACCAACAAAGAGACAATAAAATAAAAATAGCGAATGATGGTGGATGAATTGTTAGCCTAGAAAAGCTTGCAGATACTTTTCTAGAGTAAGGTATCTTTCGTTAAAATTAGAAAAAAAAAATGAAATGTTTAAAGAATATTTTTGTATATTTAAGGCAATATATATATTTTTTTAAATCAGTAATTTAACTTTGTTAACCAGTCTCTTCCTCTGTAGCTAAATGGTATAGCATGTCAGGCTATATGACCGTTCCGTGTAGGATACAGGTCCGATTCCTGTCGGAGGACTCATGTTTTTTATGAAATTTCTCGGACATTCAGGCAGGCAAATGTAGTTAATACTGTTTATTATAAACAGAGTCTTTACTTAAATATTTGTATCCATAAAAATAACGTTTAAACAGAAAATATATTAAAATAATTATCGGACTTAGTTAATGTCATAATATATGCTGTCATTCGTTTACGTTAAGATACGCTTCGAGCAGATTTGATCGTTCAAGAAAATCATGGGAAATTTGTTGTTTAAATATATATATATCTGTGTGTGAACATTCTGAGAATGTTAACTCCTAGTGAGCAACAGCTTCTGTGCTAAAATCACTTGTCTAAACTTGCAAATGTTATTTAAGAAACTTATCATCTTAGACGAGACAAGTGTGACGCCCAGTAAGTATCGACGCGTTTTTATAAATAAAAAAAAAAGAAATAGTGGCACCTGTGACTAGCTTTCCAACTATTTCTCTTATACAGGCGCCTCACCGGAAAGTAATGTTTCTAAGATTACGAGCGCCTGAAGACATCCCGTAAGTAAATTTTTACTCATGCATTTTTGGTTATCCATCTTCAAATTTTGGTCCCAGGTATTTTGGTAGCTACTGGACAAATAGGGAGACAACAAGTTTAAACAAAGACAGATGAAGAATAGGAAGATTGTGTTGCGCCAATGTTCCAGAAAAGATAGGTCCTGTCTGCTGTGAAAGATCAGTATTAGAAACTTTGGCTTGAACACCGACCACCACGGACTTCAGTGGGAAATACACAACTATTTCAGCCACTGGGCAGACTCGCATGAGAAAGAGAGAGAGAGAGAGAAAGAGAAAGAAAGAAAGAAAGAAAGTAAGAAAGAAAAAAAGAAAGTAAGAAAGACAGAAAGAAAGAAAGAGACAGAAGAGGAAGGAAACAAAACAAATAAATTTTTCGGCCTTTCATACTTTGTTCATTCATATTACATTCGTTTAATCTTTGAAAAAGTAAGTTATATATATATATATATATATATATATATATATATATATATATATATATATATATGTATGTATGTATGTATGTATTTATGTATATATACGACGCACACACGAGGTTTGATAAAATAAGTATCGGGACTATTGCTGTGTTAACGGAGCTAACGTAAGCAGATTGACGCCGCCTGGCACAGTCTGGCCTTAAACTCTATCACGCATACATACTAAATTATAACGTTATCGCTCACTTTCGTGGTTTATAGCAGTGCGTGGAAGGAAAGTGCGTATAGTGTGGTAGTATTATAACATGTCAGAGTTTCAATCAATAAGCAGGACTTGTGCAGCAGTTTTTGGCCAATAACACATTCCCTAGGTTCGACAACCACCATACTACCCAGATATCGCATGTTGCGAATTTTCCTCTTTTCAAAAATCAAATCCCACTTGCGAGGAACCAGATTTCAAGATATCGAGGAAATCCGTGATAATGCAACGAGGCAGCTGTTCCCTATCCCTCAAAAGGTGTTCCAGGAATGTTTCCATAAATGAAATTTTTAATTAATTGATTAATTCGTTTTCTACGGTTTACCAACCTTTTGCAGGTTATTTAAAGCCAGAAAATATATTTAGATTGTAAGAACATTTTTTTAGATTATAATGACTTACTAATTAACCCATAGCTGGGGGAGATGACAAACGTTTCTCAAGGATATTTGGGAGTAAGGTAGTATAAGGAACCCAACAGGAATTGGAACTCAGTTCTCCAATTAAACATTCCGAGCCATTATCCATTACACCACCCGCACATCCATGTTTACAGCACATTGTGTTCGCAAGCGGTCACACATCTAGTTACTGACGAGAGTCGACATTGCTTAACTTCGGTGGTCGTACGGGAAAGGTGTTTCAACATGATGTGGCCATAAGCTCCCATAAATAGAAATGACGCTGGATAAGGTGTGTGACTTTAAAGGTGATTAAATGGCAAGTTGATATGTGTTGTAGTTTTCTTTTTGTAGCATTTATCCAGATACTTTCTTTTATCAACCCTCGTGTGTGTATATATATATATATATATATATATATATATATATATATATATATATATATATATATATATAATTTGATCGTGGCAATCTTAAGACTTGATTTCAATGTTGAATCTGTGTACCTTATTTCTCAAGACTGGTCTATTTACAAAATTTCCAGAAGTTTTTACTTTTAATCTATCAAAATTTGCTACTTCCTCTCTGAAATTCTGGGATAAGGCATTGACAGCATTTATCTACATTATTAACATTATTAGCACAACGTTTCGCCCAATAGGCTATTGACAACCCTGAATCTAGAATTTTAAGTCGTAATCCTAAAGTTCAGCTGCTGGAGCTGCCGTCACGCTCGGCAGCAATTGTCGCCACTTCAGCTTAAGGAATTAAAGCGTTTGTGAATTTGGTAAAATATTACTTGAGAGTTCAATCCTTTTTTCCGAGTCGCCCAGGCATAGGATAACACATAAACCTTTCTTCCTAAATCTCTGGGATGAGGAGTTAAAATTATCTACAATACATACTAATATATTTATCTTTGTTATTGTCACACCGTTTCTGCCGTTGGGAGTTCCGCCCTTCTTCAGGTTTCTCTCGATCCAGGTAACCATCAGAGAATTTCGTGAGAGAAAACAAAAAAAATGGGGGGCTGAATTGATACGTAATGTCAATCCACCTATATGGCAGTGAATACTGAATAATTATTTCACTGATGAAGAGGAGACTTGAGGCAACAAGAGATGTAGTTCAAAAGAAGGATTCTGAGATTACTATGGACGGAACATGTGAGCAACGTGGACGTTTTAAGGAAAATGGAAAAGAAAAGGACATTTGTACTTAGAATTAGAAAGAGAATTTCTGGTACATATAACGAGGTTTGGAAAATCGGGCACCCACAGGACATTCAAGGCAAAAGAGATAAGAAAAACCACGACTAAACCACCTAAGAAGCTTGGATGGCAGAACATTGCTTACAGAAACAAAGGATAGGACCCGACAGGTAAAATGCTTATTGAACTCATTATTTACTAATAATACCTCAGTACAACCCAGGTATATTTTCTGTTAATTCACCCCAAGTAATGTAAAGTTACTATTAAATATTAATTCACTTTTTTTTCAAGTTTTTTTTTAGCTTGCCTCACAAAAGCTCCAACCCTCAGAATGAATAAATTACCAAAAAATCAGGTAGTTATTCACATTTCATAAGTGCAGATAATATTCGAGGTACTTACAAGGAATTTTTTACAATTAAAAAAAATGAATCTGTTTTTGGCGTGTTTATAGGGGTGAGCGCGAATGCAGACCCCACACTTGGAAATAGCGCACCTGTGTCGCCCACATTTGGGACGATTGCAAAGGTCAACCTAACCGAAGTGCAGTGGAAGTCTCGCTCTGGGAGAATTTGGTATAAATTTTAGTAAATATAAATTCTTTTTATTTCGGGGTTAATTAATATTTTGTAGTGAATTAATATTTTGGGGTAAATTAACAGAAAAGATCCCAACCAAAAAAACAAACAGGAGAATCTGAGACGAGGAAGAGACTTTTATGTCCGTCTTTATCAAAGATATACTGGCCTTAAAATCAGCATTCGAGATCTTTATTTCTCTTTCACTTTGGCTCGAACGTCCACCTCTGTCACTAATGAGAAATAATTAACTATTTTAACGACAAGGTAGCCTACGTTACTAAGCTTATTTTGCCACAAGTCCACACATGTAGAGTATACAGTGATGGTTTGAACTCACTAAAGAACGTTTCGCAATGAAGCAGCCCTTTACAATATGTTAAGCGTCAAGTTATTCAGGGAGCAAACAGAAAGGATTGAACTCGGGATGAATGGCTTAAGAAATACTGACACTTGATCTACGACAGGTACACAGAGCCGTGTTGCCCTTTGTTACGCAGAATCAGAAATCTATACTTAAAGTTTTTTTTTCTTAAAGGGATATTTTTAAGCTTAGTCTGACACAAGGCTATTCATCACTGGGGTCCTCGTTGCAAAACAAATGTCTATCAGATTTGTAGACTTTCGGTTTGTTAATATTTGCTTGGAATTTAAATGGAAAGGATATACTAATCGATAAAAATCTAATCTTCAGTTAACTAATCAGAAAAATAAAGAAACTTCTTAGCGTTAAATCTTGTTGGCTCAAGTCAAGCCTTGTCTTTGAGTTGTTTATATGTTGACAAAAATGTAAAAAAAAGTTCAATAATTAAATATAATATTTTAAAAGCTCTATTTTAAAACTATATATTCAAAGCTACAGTAAAACCCGGTATTAATTGCAAAAATTAAAATAATCTGTCATTAATTATAAGCTTCTATATGTAAACAAATCTAGTATAACAGCTGAGATTGCACTCGCGGTGCAAATTAGTCTAGGTTATATTCGTCCATAAAATACGTTGTACATGATGGTATTTATCAATTCACCCACAGGAATTGAATGCGGCACAAGGCCTTTTTAATGTGGGTATGTCCGAGCCCGTAGGCCCAGCCAAAAATAAAACCCATCTAAACCCGTCCAAGCGGGCTAGTTCCGTCAACCTCCCCCAACGAAACCCTACCCTTCGGCAGAGCTTCGTCCGGGTTCCACTCTGCAAGCAAAGAGTTCGACAGACACCCGGCTCGGCAGCTCACAAAGCACAGATACTACACTTTTGTACATGATGTGCACCTCGGCGTAGTTTACACTAGTAATTCTCAACGTGCGCCCGTAAAATATTTTAAATGGGCCTGGAGACATCAGGAGCAAGTGTAGTCATTAGTCACGGATGATATTTTCGACTACATTTTGTTTTTGTAAATAAAATGTATTTCTATTTTGCTTATGTGGGTCTGAAAAATTTTTGACACCAAAAATAGGTCGCAAGGAAGCTTGAGAAATACTGGTTCACATCACGTTCGATGTGCCCATAATGATGATTTTCTAAGCGTAGGTTAGATATGGTACAAGGCCAAAAGAATGGAGCACATAGTGAGGATCGAAGTCACTACTCAGTCGTAATTGATCTACCGAAACAAGCTTGCTAGCCATTATACCACGTCGAGGTGCCTCTCGAAGTACCCATGATGTACATCATATGATTGGCAAACTGGTCTCGCCAGACTTGAGTAATGTGTCCGATTTTCACCTATACTCACTTCTTTCAGCCTTGTGCCACACCTAAGCTATGCTGAGTAAATCACTAATATGATTTATATTATTGTTTTCACGGATGGCATTCTAGAATACCATTGATCATTCCCCAGTAAAGATTTATTCTGTTCTTTCTAAAACCCGAAGTTTTATAACGATCTTTGATTAGCAAATTTATCGGCCGGGATTTTTAATGATTTTGATCGAAATGGTCGTCGAGTAACCATTTTGTTTTGTGATTGACCACTGTTGCATTGTGGGTCAAGAAATAAGCTTTTACTATGAACAGCTTTACTTGTAGAGCAAGAGTAATCTCTTCTTTAGTGGATTAATGGTAAAGCATTTTATATTAGTCATTGTAGGCTCAAGCAATCACATAGAATTCTAGAAAAATCAGTTTTGATAGCAAAAACTGGGGTATAAATTAGCCTTCTCTAAGTGAGTATAGTTTAGACTGGGTTATTTTATAGCCCGCGACATGGAGTAGGCTATCCTTACTCCGGGGCTTATTCACGACAGCGAAACTATACCCGGTTATATTTTGAAATGGGAGTTCAATCTGGGATCTTAAACGGTACTTTAGATTTCTACCATTAATTTAATGCCCTCCACTGTTACCAAAAATGGAAACGGTAGGCATGAAAGAGTCAAATTCATTTTTATAAAGAAATGCATAATTCATTCACTTCTTTTAAAGAATTTAAGAGATTATTCTCGCGGTTATCTACCTATGTTGCTTTTATGATGAGCTGAAGCCTCACAAGTTTAA